TGTTAATAGATATAGTTTGCTTGAAATAGTTCTCAAAATTAAATTCACAATACTTTAGCATTGCTTGATCTAAGAAAATGATGATTACTTCTCAGCAATCCTTCATGTGTTGCACAGAGTTGTGATCTCTTAGAACTACAAGAACAAAACAAAATGCCTAAAGAACACATAGAACGTAACACTGTAATGCCAATGTTCAAAGAAAAAAGAAGCCTGCCCTCTGAAACAAACTGGACTAGACCTAGACATGTCCATCTCTTACTAGATTAAGAACAAGAAAGGGCAAGACCATGGCATATGCTTAACAAGCTGACATGATAAGTTTACACACATCCTCATTTTTTATGTGACTAATTTAGTAGTCATCCAAGACATAAATACCCAATGAAAACATTTTAAAATGAAACTTAAATCATATCAGAGATACTGTAACATAAATTTTTTATATTAAAAAGAATTTTCTAGTCCCTCTACTATTTTTCAAAGTGTATTCAAGTCAACAAAAAGATTTTAAAGAAAATGTATTTGGCTGATAAATATTCTCAGTATACATTTAATCAAAAGAACTGCTATTTGCTTGTTCTATGATACACTATATGTATCAAAGATATGATGAATATGTATTCTGCTATACTCTTTAAAACTTATATACACAGAAGAAAAAAAATGGTCTACGACTATCTCAAAAAATCATACGAAAGGAAACACAAATTAAGATTCTTTTTGTTTTTGTTGATGTGGCACATACCCAAAGACATGAAAACTCCTATTATTATCCTAAGATATGATAAAGATCTTCCTCAAATATTTACCTACAGTCACCAAAAATAGAAGAAGCCTCTTCAATAAATTGATGAAGCTTATGAGGAGGAACATAGAATATATGTGTTGCTACTTCCTTTGCAGATACAATCAACCTCTCCTTCCTTGATCCGGCATGTTTGGGCAGAAATCCAACTACAGACAACCAACAATACATATGATATTAGCTACTAGCCTACCACTATCACCAAATTGTTGCCAACACTAAGGGTGTCAAATTCATGAGCAACTTACCAGATGTAAGCTCGTCAGTAGCCAACCCTGAGGAAGAAAGTGCAGCAACAAAAGCAGAAGGACCAGGGGTAGGAATAACAGGAATATTTTCATCCACACATAACTTAACCTACATTAAGTTTCCAAAATACATTGTTTATGTCCATATCAATTAATTAACCCATGAAGCATCCAATTAAACTGTCATCTCGACTAAAATCTGAGTTCCTTTCAAACGTTTAGAGGACACATTACAAATTAAAGTTAGCAATATTTTTGAAAAAGATTATTTAAAAAACCATTAGAATGAAAATTGTGATTGTTTTTGGGATCCTACATCTTAAGAGATTTGGTTTATTCAAAAGGAGCATTACATGCTTTCAATCTATGTGAACTAGAGAAAATACCAAATTGATTGTCAGTTATCACAATATAAAATTTAGTAAACCAAAATAAAAGAAGAAAATAAATTAAAGTGTACGAGTGTGTGGAAATTACAAACAGTTGTCTTTCCCTGCTATATTTGTGCGCTACATTAGCAGACTAGGGTGACCAAATCAGTCGAACAATCAAACAAAATCAAAATAAATAAAAAAATTACATCAACAAAGAGTTTAGGATTAATATGTACGGGAATGAAGTGTGGTAGCATATAGAGGTGTATATATGCGCTCTAATACTGTGATGTAAACCTTACAAGCTAACAATAAGGATTCAAATGTAATGCAGTCGAGTAGAGATTGACATAGACATTTTGTAACAAAAAAAGTAGAGATTGACATGACAGCCGTCATTTTTCCAAAGGAGAACATTCAGTTCTTCTCATCATAAACAAACAGAAAATTATAACATGCTCACCAATTCCATACCAGGATCACTTATGCCTGGTGTTCCTGCATCACAGATTTGGGCCACAATTTCACCCTGTTGCAATCTCTTCAGAACTGCTTGTTCTCTTTGAGACTCATTGAATTTATGATAACTTAGCTGAAAATCTAAATCTTACCATTAGAAAGAGAATAAGAATGCCAAATATCAGTTAGCGTCAAACAAAATCGATAAACCCATTCCCAGTTCAATTCCTTCCTAGATCTAGTTCAAGAACCTGGAATTCCCTTAGGGTTCTCTAATTTTAGATTCAGGAAATTTTTTTTTTAATTTTTTATTTTATACAATCACAACTAAGTTAAAGGATCCTAATTTTTGTAACAGAACAACAATTGTTTTAGATTAACAAATTGTTTTAAAAAAAATTGTGTTCAACCCATTAAAGAACACAATTTCACAATACGCAATTGACATTGAACATATTTTTCCCAACTCAGATTCAAGAAGTTTATAAAAAAAAAAAAATAAATTCACAATCTAAAACAATACAGTCGCATGCTTTCAAAATTAATTCAAGAACCTAGAGTTCCTTAAGGTTCTCTAATTTTACATAATTTTGGAGTTGCTCAATCAAAACCTTGACTTTTCAGTGAAAATCCCCAAATCAAAACCCTAGTTTGAATCTACAAACCTGATTGAATGATGGAAGTGTTCTTCTTCGCGTGCGTTCGTCTCTTCTGTCTCCTCTCAGTCGTCTTCTCTCTCCATCGTTACTTCTCTTTCTTCGTTCTTTTCTTCAAGCTTAGAGCTCTGTATGTGTGTATTTTCTTTGTCCATCTTCTCCTTCTCACTCGTTGTTATGCCGGTTGGGGTTTGGGTTTGGGATTTGGGGTCTGAGAGAGAGAGAGAGAGAGAGAGAGAGAGAGAGAGAGAGAGAGCCCTGTCGACCTATGTTTTTTCTTTTCTTTCCCTTCACTTTCCAAAATAAAATAAATAAATATTTATTTTTGCCCTTTTAATATGGATATGTACTGATCATAAGTTTATACATACCATGAGTCTTTGAAAACTTTAATATCATAACAAATAAAATGCACTATATTCAGCATTTGTTATCATGCATTTATTAATTTTTTGGGAAGGATGGAGGACTAGAGGTCAGGCTCCCAAAACTCGATTCATGAATATCTTAAATTATATGTATCAAATTAATCCAACAAATAATTAAGTGAGTCATTGGTGTTACTTTTCTTGATCACATTATTGTATCTATCCTCGAATTCAAAATCTAAACACAGAAATATAGTAAAAAGAACCACCTGCCAATAACTCTATGCTTTTTTTTTTTGTTGGCTGGAGGGCTAGCAAGCCATTTTGCAGAGAACCCCAAAATCTCCACAAGCCAGTAGTAGAAGAAGTGAAAATAGACAAACATAGATTCATTTCAGAAATTGAGAGAGAGAAGTAGGGACATTGAGATACAAAGCAAAAGGGAACAAACATGTAAGGGCAGACTGAAGCACCGATCTCGCATGGCAGCAACAAACGGCACAAACCCTATGATCAAGAGTGAAATCGTGAGGGAGAGAGAACTACGAATTCTGAGATAAGGATGTAAAAGAGTGAATCGTGGTGATTGATTTGGGGAGATTTGATGAGGGGGAAAAAAAAAAAGGAGGGAATTTTAAGAGGGAAATGTCACCGCTAATCCCCTATCTTTACCTGCTCTACCCCAAAAAAAATAAATAAAATAAAATATTCAAAATAATTTTTAGATTTGTTTTTTTAAAAAAAATAAAAATAATTTCAGAGCAATAAAAATTAAAATTATATTTTTAAAATTTTAAAAAGTATTTATGATTTAAAAGATAAAAATATACAAAAAATAATAAAAAAAATTTTCAGCCAATTTTTTTTTTTAGTTTTTTAGGAAAAAAAAATTGAAACTAGTTTCTGAAAATAAGAACAAACATATTGAAATTGATAATCTAACCATATTCTTTGAAAAAGTTTAAATTATCTCAAATTAGTCATCTCAACTTAAGAGTGTGTTTGGACTCAATGGGTTCATTTTGTTATCTAATTCAATGATCATTTTAATTTTACTATTCAGTAACTAAAATATTTAAAGCTCTTTCAAAAATTATAATAAAAAACACAAATTACTAAATCACATCATTCCACTAACAAAACTTTTACTGATGAATAGTGTTATCGTCGCTAAATGGTTAACTCTTTACCCACGCCAACTTGTCGTCGCCAAAAGTAAGCACACTAATAGCAACGCTCATTGTGTTGCTAAAACATAAGCCTCGTAGGTAAAAGTTTTGAAATTTTGGCGCCAACCAAAAAATTTGGCGCTAAAATAATGTTATGCCTTTTTAGCGACGACAACAAATTGCGTCGGTAAAGGTATACTTTTACCAACGAAAATGATCACTGTGTCGCCAAAAATTTACTTTTGGCAATGAAAAATTGACGTTGTCGCCAAAAGTAGTCGCCAAAAGTGCAATTTCTTGTAGTGACATATGGTCCTAAATTTCAAGGACTAGAAATATAAAAGAAAAACTAAGACAACTGTCAATCAATTTTTTTTTTTTTCCCCGCATAGTTTGAGATCGTGAAGCATTTGTTAAGTAACATTCTGAAAAGCACTATAACACAGGCAAATAAATAGGAAAAGGGAAAACAGGTAGAAAGTTTGAATTACAAACATACCAGCAAGGTCTGATGAATCAACAATAATTGCATCATACTTTCCTTTAGGTACATTCCGTAAAAATTCAACAGCTGCCACAATAATGAGAAGAAGATCAACAGGAAAGTCTAGCTATATAATTAGCTGTACAATTAGGGGAGTTAATTACATAAAATTATTAATAACCTAGATTAATGGATCCATATAAAGTGGATAATAAGATTTCAGATGCACATATTCACTAAACTACATGTAAAAAATAATTAGAACATCTTTTCCACATACCATCAGCAATATGCAGTTGCACACGAGGATCCTCAAAGCCAATAGCTAACTTTGGGGGAAAAAAAAAACTTTTTACTAACCCATAAGCACGAAGTTGCAGCAACATACTTGTTACATAACGAAGAACACAAATAATATCTAATCACATGAATGGGCACATCATTCACCACATACATCTATAACCATCTTATCAATCTCACAAATATCAATGAGCTCCACAGTATTGTGGCGAGAGATTTCACTAAGAACTCCACCATCACCACCACCTACAACCAAAACCTGCATCAAGTAATTCAATTAAATTTAGCAAAAATACCTAGGGACAAACATAATAATTATAGATTGCAAAAACATGAAGAGAAGAAGATAGCTAGCTCTACTAACAATGTTTTCCTCAATCATTGGCAACTTAAATTACAAGTTCTCTTGCTTCTTGTAAATATGATGAATTGAGGCTGAGAGTACATAGAAATATTATTTGTTCACAGTTTAACAATGAGACAAAAACAAGGTGAGTCTAATATTCAATTCTAGAATTAAATTTGTCATGCAATGCCTTCAATCTAATAGAAAGAGTAAATTTTGCACATAGCACACAAATACTATTTTGTCTGAAATTCCCCGGGAAGAGTGTGCAACATAGTGATAATAAAAGGAAAACCATTTTTAAATTTTTTGTTGTTCTTATTTTGCTACTTGTTATATTAAGAAGATCAAAAAATGAAAAGGTAGTAAAACAGTGAGGAATATGGGCACCTATAGACCCTGTTCCTCGACAACAATCCCTAAGGAAGAAGTCTCGTCACACTTCCACAGTACTCCTCAAACCTCAAACCTCTTGGTAGATTGATAATCAAAGAGAGAATATATTTTTTTCACCATAACAATCATGTGTAGTTGGACATTTAACTTCAAATGTATCTCTATGTACATATGCCTATTAAAGTTCAACTAGAATAAAAGAAGAGAAAAAAAGAAGCTGCTATGGATTCAAAAGGTTCCTCACACTTAATTACATTATAATTTCAATAATCTAAGTATAGCTATATGTCATTTGAAATTAAATTTGAATAAAAATAGAAACAATAAACTCATCATGAACTATGGAACCCATGATTTATGAAAATTACAGTTTTGGTTTTTGGGGGATTGAATTGAACAAAGGGGAAGATAAGCTATCATCTCCTGATAGACACATTCATCTTTCTCAGTCAACTGAACAATGACATCAAGCACAAGAACTTTCCCATATGTAGAGGACTGTAAATAAAAGAACCAGTATCAGTAGGAAATTCATAAATAAGACAATAAATGGCAGAAAAACAGAAAGCAAGTCATCACTGCAAAGACAGTCTACTACTAGGAGATGAAAATGTTGAACCTCAAAAACCAGAATTTCTTGGTACTCTGATTTATCCTTGTACAAAATCTTCTCTACTTTCATTGAGTGTGCTTCTCTTACAAGTGAAAACTCAAACTGACTTAACCATGGCCGTCGAATAATAAATCCAGAAAAACACTAACAATAAAAAGGGACAATTTTAATTTTTTTTTTTCTTCATCTAGAAGGAACACCAGAACACACCACTCAAGCCCTTTAATATAAGCATAGGTAATTATGAACAATCAAAATTTCAATTATAATTTATCATATTGCAAGCATGCCTTACATTACATCTAATAAAAAAGTACATTCCAGCATGACTCTTTGCCCTCAAGGATATATTGATGAATGAATTATAAGTTTTCTGGCCTCTAATATGTTCCAAAGCTAAAATGATTTATATAGGTGAGATAAAAAAATGCAACAAAAAAAACATATACTTGATAAAAAAATGCAACAAAAAAGATTTGTGAAAAAAAAAAAAGATTTCGTCATCAATAAAGATTTTCTTCGTTGCTCAAAAAAAAAAAAAATATGACTGCCTTGTAACAGTTTGGGTTTGCTATGAAGCACATGTTGCATATTGCATGGGAAACAAATCCAGATAAAGACCTAACAAAATTATAAAAATAAAATAAAACACATGTATTAATTTCATGAAAATGCTGCACTATAATTTCATGACCCGTCCCAACTTTGTTATCCATGTTCTATATAAAGGACTTGGCCATAAGCAAGTTATAGAAAGATATACAGTATGTTGAATACAAAACATATAAACTAATGCTCGTCCAGAAAAGGCATAAAACATAAACTCAAGCATCCCTAACTCATCAAATTTGGGGTTTGCAGCAAACTGTAAGCCAGCTATGCTTCACACACAAAACTAATATGAAAATAAAAATAAAATTGAATATATTCAATTATAAGCTTCAGAAGACAAGCTTGCCTTAGCAATACTTGTCAAAAGATGGACTGAAAAAGGTAATACAAATGTCTAAAATACAAAAGGTAAACCTGCTTATTGTTTTGTGCTACAAAACATATGGATTTCATCCAAAAAGCAACAAAGAAGAAAAGAAACATTTCCAGTTTATATGATCACTCATTTCATCTCCTAACACAGTATTTTTATAGTTTCTACTTTTTACAAGTTTGAGATGATGAAAATCACTGGTGAAGTCAAGTTGCTGACAATGTATGAGCATAGAAATCAACTAGAAACATTGAATTTGCAGATAGCACATGCACACACACAACAGTGATGGGTTGCTAATTTCTGACCTAGAATTGACCATATAATACCAGTAAAGATACTATCTTAGGGAAAACTAGGCCTGCATTTGGCAGTGTGAAGAAACTTCATGACACCATATGGCGTTTCATTACTGAGCCCAACATATTTGACATAATAAAACATCTTCGACTATATTAGGAAAATTAGAAATGATTAAATATAGATCTAATTAAATGATGATGGATCTAAAATCATTAACATAAAATGTGATAACCCTGTTCCGTAATTAGCTAATTGGTCCTTATTATGAGTTTGATTGTATGTCTAATATGATTTTGTGTGCCTTTATGTGAAAATGTGTGATTTTGAATTTCTATCTGTTCACTGTAGGAATATCTGTTTGATTATCTGCCTTGGAAATTAAATTGAAGGCCTTATCAGCCACAAAACTCGAAATTGATTACGCCATTGTGGTTGGCATAATTTTTAGAGCCTACGGTGAAATTTAATTGAAAATTGATTCGGATCAGATTAAACTGATTTAATTGGTGAATTAGTGCCCAATTATTTATTATTATTATATTGTGTTGAGTGGGGGCCTTAATACACTCTCCCTTGCCTCTTCTGAACTCAAAAAAAAAAAAACAAAAAAATCTGATTTTGGTGCCTTGAGAGTGAGAGGGAGCCAGCCATAGAGATAGAAGGGAGAGACTTGTGCAATCTTGACTCAAGCTTGGATATTTGAAGTCTAGTTCAAGAATTAACCATAGATTGGGCTTCCACGTAAGCAATTGATTCTTGAATTCATGAGTTTAATGTGTAATCTTGTGTGTTCAAGGTTTGTTTGTAACCAAGAGCATGAGTTGAGTTGGTTTTGTTGGAATGAAAGCTTGATATGTGCAAGAATGTAAAGAATACCTATGGAATCACAAAATCTAGCATGTAAGTTGTAAATTATGGAAGATTGGAAGTGTAATCCCACATGCAAGCATGTTTTTGTTGAGTTTCATGGGAATGCGCACTAATTGCATCATTAGAAGTGAAAATGAAAGTCAAAATGGGCATGCATGTTGTTTATTAAAAATGGGAACCTTGAATGCATGAGTTTGAGTTAGTTTGGGGCATGCATGTGATCAATTCGTGAAATTGAACTCTATTGTGTTGTAATTTGGTGTTGGTACCATGTTAGCACAAGCATATGTGAGATTTGAGCCATCATATGCAATAAATGTGGTTGAAATGTCGAATTTGAGCTCAAGAACACATTCTGAAAAACCCAGAAATTTGATGTCTGCTCGAGCGGGAAAACCGCCGCTCGAGCGTGAATTTCGTGCTCCCAGTATTTTCTGCAGACCATGATATCCGCTCGAGCGGGGAAGTCCACGCTCGAACGGGGAGCTATGTAAGATAGACTTCCGCTCGAGCATCCAAGTTCCACGCTCGAGCGTAAAAATGACATAACCAGTACTTTTGCAAACCTCATGGGTCCGCTCGAGCGGGTAAGTCCACGCTCGAGCGAGGACCTTGTTTCTGAAAATTTTGTGTGATCGTTCTATGTTTCATTTTCCGTTCTCTTTCACTTGCAAGCACTCTTAGGCATGCATTAAGCATTGTAATTGAGTTAAAGAGATAAGAATGAAGCCTAAAGAGGAATATGTGAATTAAAGAACGGATTGAATCGTTTGTGACCCATATGTGTTATAGGATGTGTAGGGTCAAGCTCCAGGGCAAATCCATGAGCCGATCACTGTGAGTAATATCTGATATCTGAAATATGTTGTTGTCCAAATTGCTCACTTCTATGTAAGTTTTATAAGTGCATTGATTCGTTTGGTGGACAATGGTTGTTATACTAAATGCATGGGCTAGAGGCCGTTTTGATAAGAATGAATGAATGGGCCGAAGGCCGTTTGGACATGAATGAATGGGTCGAAGGCCGTTTTGACGTGAATGAATGGGCCGAAGGCCGTTTTGACAAGAATAAATGATTGGGCCGAAGGCCGATTGACACGAATGATTGGGCCGAAGGCCGATTGACATAAATGGTTGGGCCAAAGGCCGTTTTGACATAAATGAAAGTTTGACATGCATGAATGGGCCAGAGACCAGTTTGAAATGAAAGTTTGAAAGGCCTAAAGGCCAGTTTGATATGGAAGTTTGAAAAGGCCAAAGACCAGTTTGACACGAATAACAGTTTGACACGAATGCCAGTTTGACACGAATAACAGTTTGACTCTAATGAATTGGGCCCAAGGCCGTATGATGTGTTTGGAACCGCAGTTACTTAACTTACATATGTCTATGTATGTATGTATTAGTGGAAATATAAATTGGGCCCAAGGCCGTTTGGTGTATATTATTCCAATGTATATTCTTTATTTGATATTATTCACTAGGCTTTCGCTCACGCTCATTCATGTGTTTGTAGGTGAGCCAAGAGAAGTCCAAACCCAGCCCCATTGAAGTCTGTATGGAACAACTAAGGTTTTGAAGAGTCAGCCCTTGCGTCTCACGCACGAGACACGTCTTTGCCCTTCTGTGTTATTTTGTCATGTTGGTGAGGACTTTGGTGTATGTCTGTATATAGCTTTGTTTTGGCTGACTTAGATTTGAATGATCTTGTCTGTATAGAACTTTATGTTACTATACTTTCTGTTGTGAGTTATTAACATATGTATATATGGAATGTTATGATGTGAATATAAGCACGGCTCTATGGACAAAGTTTTAAATTTGCTTCCGTTTGGCCCCTTTACTCTGATGGGTTTTGTCTTATTTGGTTTGAGGCCATAGGTAATCACGTGATTACTGGCCGGTGATGACCTTAACCTATAGGGGCGGGTTCGGGTCGTGACATAAAGGCTCTGGGATCATTGCATTCAGAAATCATATGTTAAAATCAACATGACACAGTAAAAATAATCTGCACATCAATGAATGCAAAACGAAAGAAAATTCAATGTTATGTTTTGTCTGGGTTCAGAGGTGAGCCTTAAAAGTGTACTTAATATGTCCATATGAATCTGAAGCAAACTTGTACACATAGACATATGAATCTAACATGCCTGGGTGATTGAGGTTTGTGTTGGTTGATTCCTAAACAAATAAAAAAAATTACATGTTACAAACGATTCACGTCATTAAGGGTAAATTTTGGGGTAATGTTTTAGGAGTCCAAAAGAATTTTCCTTGTATATATTGGAATAAAATTTTGGGGTAATGTTTCATGTATATGATTTTTTTATTTTATTTTTTAATCTTTAAGTTCCCAATAAAAATGAGAGCATATTAATAATCTTCCAGTACAAAGTTTACTTTATAAAAAAAAAAGGAAACATTATCATTATATTATATGTTAGTGTGGAGGATTTTATTTGAGAAGCAATGGGGTTGCCTTCATAAGAAATCCAGCATCAAATGCTTTACGCTCATCATATTCAAAAGAGGTGTTTTGTGGTGCACCTAGTGATTGGCCATAGACATTTTAAACACCCACTGTTGATCCCTAGCAAAAATTACATGTAAAAATATAACCAATAACTTTGTCCTGTTTTGAAATGTACATATTCCCACTTGTCACCATTTATCACCTAAATTTTACATGGACTTTCCTAATCACTGGATTTTGGAATATTCACATTCAATGCATCCTACAAAAGAAATCAACGACAATTCTAGTCTTTGTGCTTCTAGTACATATATAGGAATTTGAAATTTCTCTACTATTGGGCGAAGATCAATCAACTGGAGTATTGTCTAATTCTTGCAGAGGTTGAACAGCTATTGGGACTAGAAGAAAGAGATATTTTATAACATAATGCAACTCCTAACCTGGGTAAAATATCAATAGTAAGTGGTCAAAGTAATGAACAACCTATTATTGAATAATTTTTTTTTTCCATCTCCTCCATGGGTGTGACAGTGCCTCTCCTAGTAATT